ATCCATCCATCCATCCATCCATCCATCCATCCATCCATCCATCCATCCATCCATCCACCCCCCCTTTTCTCCAAGGGTTCAAAGTAGACACATGGGGGATGTCTCCTCTTGTTTTATCCCCCAAGAATATGTTGGGCTAAGAGAGACAGGCTGCATCAAAGTCTACCCAGGGAGCTCCAGGGCTGAAAGGAAGCTGCCCTTGATTTTTCGGGTCCAAGTCCAAGATCTTAATCATAAATTTCCACGCCATTTTGTTATTTTCATGTATGTTTTATGTATGGATCCTCCTTACTTGGCAGTAGAAGAACTAGTAGATAAACTAACCAGAAGACAAAACTGAAGGGCCCATCACAAGTTTTTAGTTTAAACCAAAGCATCTTCACACATTTACTTACTGCCATATATGCATTTGTCCCAACGTAGGTCTTTGCTATGGAATTCACCAGCTATCAAGACAAAACAGCTTGTTAGAGCCATAGAAAGCATAAATAAAACAGGTAATTATTCCTCATTTAACCTATAATCATCCTACATATAAATCAGAAAAAATTATGTAAAGTAGGGAGTGGACAAATTTGCCAGCAAAGGCATTAAAAATGCCCCCCCTTTCAAATGAGAGTCCTAATTTAAAATAGCCACAATATTTCAATTTATGGCAGATACCAAAGGCAACTGTAAAATCTGAAGAAGGATGCTTAGAGTATTTAGTATCCTACCAAGCAGCTGGATATGCCTATTGGAAAGGGGGGGGAGGGAATCCAGCACATTCAAACAGTTCTCCTCCTCCTCCTCCTTCCACTGTCAGCTGGGCCCAAGATGTGAATAAAGCCACCTTGATTATCCGGCTGGAATGAACACTAAATATGCTGGAGGGACAACAGATTTTGACAACATATAATGCAGCCGTGACCTTCTCTTTGGTCCTCATGTTTGGCTGGGAGGAAAGGTGGCTGCAATTCAATTCAACATCGCAGCGAGCTTGAGGGTCAGTCTCACACAAGGTTCTCAAGGGAAGCCCCAAATGGAAATTAATTAAAATTTGTGCTGCACATTGTTAAAGCCCACCACCATTGTTGCTCCCAATATTAATTTTTACTATGGGCCAGTCAGTCTCCCCAGACACTCCTCTCGTTCTGCCCTTCCTTTTGTTTGGCCCAAGCGCTTTCAGCGCCAAGCTGCATATCAATGAAGATTGCTATTGGTAAGTAGTAATTACAATATCAGCAGTTTTTACTGTCATTAAACAATGAACAATCATATTCTGATGAAGAAAAGTCACCAGGAGATTAAAAGGATGAATTGTATGTTCCCAGCAGAGGAAGCTTGTGGAGGGGACTCCATTTGTCTCATGACCAGTTTGGAAAGCAGAGTTAAGAGGGTAGGACAACCAAGGAACACATGGACATACCTGGGTGCTGACTCCAAAGTCACATAACTTGACCTGGCCTCTCGTGTTGACCAACATATTGGAAGGCTTCACGTCTGTGTTGGAAAAAGCAACAAAGGCAGGAGAAATCCAGACAGCATTGATTTATAGCAAATACAGCTGACTCTTATTGGATTATCACGTGCTTATAGGGTTTGGGTGCTGTGCTTAAGACTGAATATATCACCGTCTGGCCTCCAGCCTTGAGACAGATATGTGATATGGAAGGACAGAGAAAAAAGTAAGCAAAGCCAGACATGAATTCATCTCAATGTTATGCAAATATTAAAAAAGGATTGGCCACTGAAAGAGAGAGAATTCCAGAAGGGAGGAATTAATTTGTTCTCAGACTGAAGAAAGCAAATGAAGATTTACATCAAGGGTCCTCCAATGGGCATGTTTGACATTTGAGAGCATTTTATCAGCACTTTTACATAACAAAATGGGGCTTGGAACCCAGAGGATGTCAAGAGTGGCCCAGGTGGACATCCTGGGGTCCCAGTGCTTGCATTCCAAGGCCAGCCTAGCCTGTCATTCTGGTTCTAATCATAAATTCCTTCAGTGGAAAAATCACAAAGCAAAAACAAAAACAACAACAACAACAAAAACCAGTATGGCCTCCTCATCTTGTCTATTTCCACCATCTGAAGTTTATGTGAGGGAGAAGATCTTGAGTTGTCCAAGCCATTGATCAACCCATCTAAGCTAGAGTTCATCCCAACATCCTGCTGCAGAGAATCCCACAGATTAGTCTACACTTTATGAAACAGTACTTCCTTTGGTCAAGTCTGAACCTGTTTTTAATCTCTTTTCACAAAATTTGAAAAATTAATAAAACAGGCAGACCAGGAACTTTTGGCATAATATCTAAAATGTATAGTTTACTGCTAGAAACAGGGATATGTGGTATTATTTCAGATGTCAAGGAATGGTTGCTGGAAATGTGTGATCTGCTTATTCTGGAAAAGGCAATATTTTCTACTAATCAAATGAGGTAGTATTATGTGTTACTATGACAGAGATTTTGTGATATTTCACAATAATATTTTGTAATGTTCACATCATAGTAGTGAATTCATTAACAAACCAGTGATTATTGATAACTATAAAATATAAGGTAGATTTTTTTTCTTTCTTAATTTGTATTTGTAGTTTGTTTGGGAGTGTCTCTTTTCTAATTTTTTTTTAAGATTAAAGATTGTTTTGTTAATTGTGAAGGAATAAAATAAATAACAAAAGAAAACGGGGAAAAAAACTTGCTGGAAACAGACATGGTCAGCCAGGATTCTTTTATGGGAATCTGGGAGCTGAATTGCAAATGCAAATAAAAATGAAAATGAAGACTTGGGCTTTAATTTGGCAACTAGATCCATTTACATCTGTCTCTTTAAATACTGTACAAAGAACACAACTTCAAAAGTGGTTCATAGATGACAGAACATGCCAAATAAACGATCACAAATTCAAAAATCAATTTCAGGGTTTTGCTGGAGGGACTATCAGGATCAGGGAATATATATATTCAGCACTTGCTGATTAGGAATAACTGTGTGTGTTTAGTATTATTCCCAATCACCAAAAAAACACTGCACACAGCTGGCTTTGCCACAAATCTATGACCAAGCACATAAGAACTTAATCCTTGAATGATTATTGGAAAAGTTTATCTTTAATATTCCATTTTTACATGATACTACAAACTCAACTAATATTCAGATAGAATGCTTTTCTTTCACTCTTTATGTGAATTGTAATAAACTTACTGAAATTGTCATTTAGGTTGTTATAAACTATGGGAAAGTTAATTTAGGGGGGACCAGTATATATTATTTTATTTCTTTTTTATTAGAAATTGAATTGAATCTGCTATCTAGGACATCTACCAATGATAAAGCAACAACTATTTTTGTTGAGTCTTTTGGTAATCAC